CCTCGGGTCTGAGTACAGGAGGACTGAGGTTCCCCTTCTGCCTCATCACCTCAGCTCTAATCTACTTCTCTCCGCTGCATATACACACTAACTTCATTAGACGAGCGGGGGGAGAGGGAGAGGGAGAAATAGGGCACGCTGAATATCTTGAACTGCATGAATCAGAGCTCCTCTAAACATAACCGAATTGCGAGAGTATACTTGAGAGCAGGAGAGAGAAGAAGAGAGAGCTGTAAGGAACATCAAAATGGATTTACTTTGCATTGTCAACCCTTGCCAGCTCTGCTTTGGAGGAGAGGAGCAGAGAAGGAGGGAAGAGACTGTGTAGTGGGATTCTGGGAGAAGGATAATGTGCAATAAAAAGAAATAAGCTGACAGCAAGAATTAAGACTGTGGAAGGGCTTAAAACATGATCTTCATTACACCCTAGTGTTCATATTACAACATTACATCGATTTCAGAAATTGACAACCCCAGTCCACATTCGCTTTCATTATTAGTCTACAAATTATTCCCAGTTGTTGTGTTCCACAGAATTTGTTTTTTATTGAATTCAAACTTTAACAAAATGTTGCAGGCTGTATGTGAAAAGTCCTTAGAAACTACAACCACTGAGCAATAATAGAAAAAAAAGAATGGTCATTAAAGGGATAGCTCACCCCAAAATGAAAATTTTGTCCTCATTTATTCACCCTCATGTTGTTCCAAATCTGTATGAGCTTCTTTCTGTTAAACACAAAAGAAGATCTTTTGAACTTTGAAGAATGTCGGTAACCAAACAGCCCAGATAGCATACATATCCGGGCCAACTATGGCACATATGGCTCAGTTCTGCCAGTGGCAAAGGTCACATGGGCCGTATCTGGCCCACACACATCAAGCCGGTTTTAGTGTGAGTTAATACTATGGATGGGTGCCGTCAACTGTCTGGTTACCAACATTCTTTAAAATATCTTATTTTGTGTCCAGCAGAATAAATAAACTCTTACAGGTTTGGAACAACTTAAGGGTGAGTAATGATACAATTTTCATTTTGGGGTGAACTGTCCCTTTAAATGATTGCATGCGTTTCAGACAGCTATTAAAGACCAATGAAAGACGGGAGAAATATTAATAAAAACAGTCACGTCTTATTCAATGTCAATGGTGGTTACGGCCCTGTTTAAGGATACACATTTCAAAGGGAAAAAGCTGCATGTATGAGTAGACAGCAACCTAATTGATGTTTAACATTACACGCCTGTTCTGTACCTCTCCGAGCTACTATCTTCTCAGCAAAACTGCACTGTAAAGAGGCTGCGGCACCTCAGATCATAAATCATCAAGAGTAGGGTGTGAAGAGATTGTGTGAGTGTGTGTTCTTGTTAGGGTAAGTGTGTGAGCTAAACTCACGGGAGCAGCAGTCATAACACTGGCGCGAACACCCATCATTTATCACACACGCGCACACGCTCGCGCATCAAGCCTATGATTTCATAGGCCTTAATTAAAAAGGCACACAGCACTATTTATAAGTCTGATCGTCACTTAGTAGCACTAATAAGGATGTTAGTTGAAGAAACACATTATTAAGCCTTAGGAGAAGCAGGGGCTCTGCTAGCATGTACACATGCTAATAAGCTGCTGACGGGGTCTAACACCACTCCACGGGCCTGAACAGGATTAATCAGCCTGTAAAAGAGACCCACCACACGGCTTCCTGCAAGGACACCGAGGCTAAATCAGCAGTTGGAGACAAACTAATTAAAGGGGGGAGAGAGACCGAATCACTAGAGACTAGTGAAGAGAGGCATTGCTTCTAAATTACTGTCAGTCTTATTCACAAGATGCCTGGCTTAAAGGGTTTCTTTCAGACTGTCTATACCCAGGATGTTTAAGCTGATGTATGTGTAATTTTAAAGCTGTAGTGCTCTTTACTTCTCATTTAACTTTCGAATCCAACTTCTGTCTACACTTTTCTTTGTATAAGAATTCTTAGTCTTATTTTAAAGCTGGCATGCATATGTATAGCCTATGAGATATTTTACAAAATGGTTGTCATTTGTATCCTCCATATACATGTAAAAAATGAATAGTTGATGCCAGCTTCATTTTTGAAAAACACATCAGCAAACAATTTTAGTAAACAATTGATAGCTGAAATATGGATATTTGCAGAAATATCAGTGTTCATTTTTCTAAGGGGCCGTGGTGTACACGACACCGTTTTCAACTAAAAACAGAAAACTTTTGATGCGTTTTGGCCATTCATTTAAACGACAACAGCGTTTTGGGGGCCTGAAATAGCAAACTTTTGAAAGCGGGTTTCAAAGTGCAAGTTTTTGAAAATGATACTGTTATCATCTCCCTGTAAACTACAAAAGCGGGAATTTGTGAAAACGGTGATGTCATGTGCACGCAATATCAGTCTATCGCATATCAGTCTATAGACGACTAGTGTTTCTTTACAAAGTGACAATTGCCAACTACTGGCCTGGCATGCATAATACAGCGCTTTTAGTCGTTTTCGTGGATCTGTGTCAACGGGATTGTTTTGATAATGTTTTCGTCTGTACGCAAAAGATGCAAAGGAAAAACTTTTCCGTTTACATCGTACCCTAAGAAGCACCATATCATTTTCAAGCCTTTGTAATCTCAAGTTTAATTGTCAGCCCTTTTACCTTTCTTAGGCCTCATATCTCAAAGTAAACATTTATCTAGGAATGGCACAGTGCATATGTGAACACTTTAATATTATTTGTCTGATAGAATGTTTGACATCTTCCAAAATTAAAAAGGAGCAACTTATCTGGCACTCTGGAAGAGGCACCCATTTCTTATAAATGACCAGCACATTGGCACACTCTCCAGCAGCCTCATGCTGGAGCCACTCTATAAAACTCTGGCCAGGGTTCTTCAGGTGTTCTCTTCTGCAGGATTTACAAGCTCTTAATGCTGGGTCAGATGATGGAGTACGGATAAACCAATCAGGCTTCACCCAGGATGAGTAAATGGACATGCAGATGGGTCCATTATCTGTCAGGCTCGTATGATACAGCAGCTCTATATTTACGGCCTACTTAATGGGGTTGATTGTATTAGTGCACATGGAGGGGGAATGGCTCTATCACAGACATAGTAGTTCCAGCTTTGTGCAATTACCTTATGTAAATCCCGCAACCAGGCGTCTATTTAAAATGCATTGAATTTCCCAATGCAAAACCATCAAGTCCAACCATGCGAACTTCATTAATACCAAAGCATGGGCAGATAACATTTGAAGTACTGCTATGATTACTTTAGCCAATGCCCGTGTGCATTTGTTTTTTTTTAAAGGATACTTGAGATGGTATTTGGAAAGACTTGCTAAATGGAGCATTTAAGCACAGTAGCCTCAGGAGTGTCTTAAGTGAGGAATAAGCGCAACTTTACATGAAAGTACCATCAATATTTACACAATTGCCTTATAAAAGACAATTAAGGAGAGGAAATGGATTTCAGCATCATGTTTGTTCTGTATTCGGCATGGGTTACATCTCTGTGCAAAAATTGAATTAATGGTCAATCATTTCGCACAAGAGACATCTTGAACAATACCACATTCTACTACATTTAATGCTTAAAGTTACACAGCAGACGGATGCTTATCAGCTACTTGGACATTCCTATAAATGTCATTCAGGCTGCATGCATAAAGATTTACAGCCCACAAATAGAGTTTACATTTATATATGGCCCTATAATAGTAGTTACCATGTCAAATAAAATGTTTTCATCTGCTCTCCCCATACAAGTTGTGTTGGTGTCAAAGATGAATGTGATTGGATTTTAGAAAATGTGGCTTTTTTCTTGATCTGATAGGCTCATTCAGCCGGCTTTAACAACAGCGAATTTTTATTTCTTATCACAGCAGTTGAACAAAGCAGCAAATGCATGAATTTTTTCTTTTCAGTTTTAATGAACACAATTACTCAGTTTAGTTGGGGCTCCAAAACAGAGATATGAAAATGAATCCCAGTAGAAGTGAATTCAGAGAAGACTCGATTATCGTTTATGAAAGTCTTCAGTCACACATGCTTTAGGCACACAAACATGTTCTTGGTCAGAGTCTGTCATTCATTCTGATCAGGTGGCAAGATGCAGCAACATAGAAAATGATAGACATGTAGAGGAAAAAAAAAAAGAAGAGTCAAAGTCATGAATGTTTTATGGGTCATAATGGCTTTCTCATATTTCCTCACCACACTTTGGCCTCCACGGACACACAAGACCAGGGGTTTTCCTGGCACCTCTGCCCCACAGACACGCAGCAGCATATGGTGTGCAATTCAGACACCTCTAGGGCCCTGGCTGCAGCAGAGTGTGGTCAGAGCTATGAATTATGGATATGAGCTAATTGTTTTCTCATTTGGAAAGTCTTGCTCTTTTGAAGTCGCACAGCTCATGGTTTCTAGCAGGTGTTTGATTTGATCACCACCCGGCCTCGATTCTGTCATTTTCCATGCCACTTTTTCACTGATTAAAGGTGGTCCTGTCTAGAAAAACAAAGCGAGTTATATATAGCCACACTGTAAAAAAAAAAGTTGTTTTACCTTAAAGTTTTTGTTCTGCCTTAAATTTTAAGTGTAGTCAACTCAAATATCTAAGTTGTCACTTAGTACAATTTCACATTTCAAGTTGACTAAACTTAAAATTGAGGCAGCACGGATACTTTAAGTTGAAATAACATTTTTTTTCAGTGTAACTTAACTAAAGATAAATTTAAGCTTTAATGAGATTATTTTGCTGTGATTTAAATCAAACTAATTACGCCAGTGTTTTACTGAAGCTACTGGGTTTAAAAACACAGAAAAGCTCTGGACAATCCGCTCTGCTCAAATAAACAGGATTTATTTTTGTATTATAAATCCCTGTATTAAAAGGAAGGAAATGGTTGATAGTTCCCCATTTCATATTATCAGTTTCTGCAATATCGAGATGAATGACACATGAACAATGAAAATAAACACTAGACTAATAACTCAGGCATTATCACTTTAATATTATCCATGAGTTTTTGTCTTTTTTAATTAGGATTAGACATCAATTTCAGAAATAGCAGTTAGTCTGAAAATTACATTCAAAATGTGCAGTTCACAATGCGTGATGACATCACCCCTCCCTCGCCCTACCCAGCACTCATTTCTTTTTTCCATACATCAACAATATTAGATCTTTTCACTTGTTATTGACACACAACTTCAAGCCATTACACTTCAACTATTATTGGTATTTTTCTTTGTTTGTACAACAGGGTTCAAGTTCTTGTTGAAGTAGTATGTACATATACTTTCTGAATTTGGTTAAAAACAAGACAAAGGCGGCGTTTACCATGCGTACCTTCCGTTAACACTAACTGCAGTACTATTTCCAGTACCATCCTGTCAATTTGTTATCAAGCAGCTTTCCATCCAGGGGCAGAGCAGGAAACCGGAGATGAATATTTTTCGGTATTGATTTGAAACTGTGTAAGGCCTAAATGCCGATATAAGCATCTCACCTTTCTTTTTCCAGTAAGCCCGAGAGATACGAGGGCGAGAGACGAGCTCTCTGACTGTTTTTGAGAGGTCTTGCTTTTGAACTACACAACATATATCAGGTTCACATCTGGAAAACAACCTGTTTCTCCTGCATACTGTTACACAATTCGGCACAACACAGTCCATTTATTCCAAGGAAACAACACAGGTTTGACCTCAAGCACGTGAAAGACCTGATATTTCATTAAAGGGAGGGCCACTGAATTAAAAAGGAGTTTCTCTGTTGGATAACACAAAAGACACAAGTGTGATGAGCATGTCTGTTATCCAGTAGCGTGACGTCCTGAAGCAAGAGGCGCATGGCCTTTCCGGTAAACTTTAGGCAAGTGCAGATGGAGGGCAAACATGGGTGGATATGGAGAAAACACTCTGGGAAAAAAAAAGAGATTTTTCTCAGAGCCTTTCCCATTTGAAACAGGATTCCTGTCCTAATACTGATTATTAATCATTGTCCATTTTAATCGATCCCCATTATCCGTCGGTCAGTAGTCATTGTCAAATAATACTGTCTACTAATACAGTGCACTTTCAGCTTATTCCACAGGAAAAAAATGAAGAAAACAAAAACTCTGAGTCAAAGAAAGCCCAGATACAAGTCAGACACGTGTCTCAATGAATGAAACCCCAAAATCAGTTTTACTTTTAAACATTTCACAGCAAAAAAAAAACTCAATCTGATGAGACTTGAAAGTGTCTGCTCAGTCAGTTTTCATTCTAGGCGTCAATACTGGCTAAGATAAAGTCCATTCCAGTTCCCAACTTAGGGAAATATTCAAATTTCCCCCCAAAAAAGAGTGCATAAAGGAAACTAATGACCATCCATAATTGTCCAAAAGTTCATCCAGCTTATTCTAAGCCAAGGAATGACGATCCAAATGGAAAAAAAGAGAAAATTTTGTATATCCTCAAAATAAAAAAAATAAAAAAAACATTAAGTGCATAAATAACCTTCCTGTATTCATTTTCTTTGCTTATATCCAGTCATAAGTCACAGTAAATCCACTCATGTTTGTTTATATACACTTTTAGGCTTGGTCCACAGCAGTGGTGCGTGTTTGTGCGATGGATATGAGATGTTAAACTTCTGGCGTTGTGTTCTCTGGATTGATTCTCAGGTGGTGTCACTTAGAGATGTTCTACCTCCCAAAAATGTTCTCATACTCCAGAAGGATGAGTTCTACAATCTGGTTTTGATAGACCATATGAACCGCCATATTGCCCGTCTCAATCTCCGGCCTCAGCAGGGTTGGGCCGAACACGATAGCCACGCTCTGGGTCGTCATCCTGTTCACCTCGCCGTGATCTATCACTCTGAAAAACACAGAGAGAGTCTGAGAGTCTTCCCTTGCTTTCCTGTAAACTGGTTAAAAATGTAACCATCGTCAACAGAAGAGCTTCATTTTTTGCCACTAAAGAGCTTCCGTTTGTCTGACAAACAAATCACGAAAGGTGAATTTGTAGCAGGTAAATGCATTTTTGTTTTGCCATCGATTTTACTTTTAAATAAAAATGTTTGGGTATTGTGCTTAAATTACATAAATACAGATGCCTTTTCCCTGCAACAGCAAAATGTCAGACCGTAATTTTTCTGGAACGCTATGCCTCCATCCTCCATTTTTAATTACAGTAGACCGAGAGCCATTTAAATGCAAATGGAGCAAAGGCAAATGTCATTGTGCGTGTTTGATATAGCAATTACGATTGAGACTCAATGCCGGTCTCAAATTACATTCAGAATTACACAGTAAGGCACATCATACAACAACATGGGGAAAATGATTCACTCTATATGTCCAGAGAAAATGGAGTTTTCTTTGTTTATTTCCCACTTCATTTTAACTTTGAGTTGATTTAAAGAAGCCTGAAGTAAGTATACTAAAGGTGTGAAGGTGATGTCCCCACAAAAAAAACATCTTCTGAATTTGCCTTAAAGGGATAGTTCACCAGAAAATGAAATTGTCATCAATAACTCATTGTCTTGTTGTTCCAAACCTGTACGAGTTTCTCTCCTCTGTTGAACACAAAAGAAGATACTTTGAAGAATGTAAGCAACCAGACAGGTGACATTGACTTCCATAGTATTTTTGTTCCTACTATGGAAGTCACTGGGTGCCGTCAACTGTCAGGATAACAACATTCTTCAAAATATCTTCTTTTGTGTTTAACAGAAGAAAGAAACTCATACAGGTTTGGAAGAACTTGAGAGTGAGTAAGTAATGACAAAACTTTCATTTTGGGGTGAACTATCACTTTAAAATGATGTGCATGAACAGACACGTCTAAAAATAGTGTTGTCATTTTAGATTTACAAGAGACTATGGGAATCTAGAGGGATCGCGGGACACTTTGACTGCTGTCCTTCACAAAGCTAAGAGCAAAATTAAAGTTGAAATATACAGTAGAAAAGAACTGACTTCACTAGACCAAACGAGACAACTCCCTAAAGAAAGCCCAGAGTGATTAAAGATTCATGTGACTCTCACCTGCCACTGAGGAAGCAGCTTTATAGCTCATGGTTATTTTAAGGTTTGGAATGGATGTGATAACAGAGGTGGAGTTAACAATTTATAGTTATAAAAAGTGTCTTGATAAACCTAAATCGACAAGAAAGATAAAAGAGCAGTTTTAGTAATGGATTAAAGACTGGATTGCCTCCTGAAGCACAACAACATGATGCCTACAAAGACCAGTACACTACTTTTTTTTTTTGTTGAAGAGAATAAATTAATACTTTTGTTCAGCAAGGATGCATTAAATTGATCAAAAGTGACAGTAAAGACATTTAGCATGTTACAAAAGTGTTTATTTCTATAGAAGATGTTGTATTCATTAAAGTATTCTGAAAAAATACATGAGATGAGATCATGTGACACTGAAGGCTGCAGTAATGACTGCAGAAAATTTGCTATCACAGGAATAAATAACATTTTAATATATATACACTACCGTTCAAAAGTTTGGGGTCAGTGAGAATTTTATTTTTATTTTTTGGAGGAAAGAAATCAATACTTTTATTTATCAAGGAATAATTAATTTGATCGAAAGTGACAGTAAAGACATTTATAATGTTACAAAAGTCTTCTGAACTTCCTATTCATCAAAGAATCCTAAAAAAAAAAACAAAAAAAAAAAAACTGTACAACTGACAGACCAACAACTGTTTCAACATTGATAATAATAATAAATGTTTCTTGAGCATCAAATCCTCATATTATACTGATTTGTGAAGGATCATTTGACACTGAAGACACTGACACTGGTGATGCTGAAAATTCAGCTTTGATCACAGGAATAAATTACACTTTACTATATATTCACACAGAAAACAGCTGATTTACACTGGAATAATATTTAATACTATAACTGATTTTTGTTGTATTTTTAATCAAATAAGCGCAGCCATGGTTAGCAGAAGAGAATTCTTTTAAAAATATTTAAAATCGTACCGACCCCAAACTTTTGAACGGTAGTGTATATTAAATCAGAAAACAGCTATTTTCAATTGTAAGGCTATTTTACAACACTGTTTTTTTTTTTACTTTATTTTTGATAAAATAAATACAGCCTTAGTGAACTTAAGAGACTTCTTTCAAAAACAATAACATATCATACCAACTTTGTAATTCAATTATGTACTCAGGTATTTTTTTCAGTAATTTATTGCAGACATAAATAATGATTTGATCAGATATTCAGGCAGTTGTTATTGATTTTTTTATTTATCGGTCAATATTGGATATTTACTTGTTCATGCTCATATCCTCTATTTTTACATTTAGGTTATATTTGCCAACATCTAAAACTTAATCTTTAACAACATAATAATTTCATAAAACCGTTAAATGTCATCTTTTTCAAATCTCAAAATAAACCATTTTTCATACTAAATTCACTTTAAAACGGTTGATTTTAGTATTTAGTGTTTTATTTATTTAGGCAGAATAGTATATACATTTATTATCAGCCAGAAGTAACAAACAAAGTAAGAAAACATTTTAAATATCAATCAGTCAGTTCCTGTCTAAATGGGCAGATCTATGCCAGAAAGAGGACATCACTTCATGCTAATATTATACTCAACACTAGATGACGGATACTAAAAGAGCATCAGCAACATAACAGTTGCGTTCTCCACATCTGCCGTTTCCTGTGAAGCTCCCAAGGTTGATGTCACAGTCAAGAGCTGTTTACACAGGCTGTTAACTAATTGAATTACATTCCTGCTGCATCACAATCGCAGACCTGGATTAACCACAGCACCTCACGCTTTCCTCCATACAGCCCTTCATGTTCTCTCTCTGTCACTGTCTTCTGCTCTCTCTGTGGCTCGTGCATCACACACACACACCCCACTGCCAATGGCCATGCATCAGTAGGATGTGGTGTAGACCCTCCCTCCAGTCTCTTCCTGTCCCACTCTCCTGCTCCACATGTCTCTCTCTCTCATAATGATGTAGCTGGCTAGTCTCCAGGTCTGTCCCAGTAATGGATACAGTGAGATAACTCGATATAGGCCTGCTGTGCAGAGCACCGACCACACCCTCCTCACCTCCAACAATCACACACACCAGCATGGCTCCAAATCAATAATGAATGATGATGGCTTGCTTGGAAAGAAAGGCTTATTAACTCAAAATGACAAATCAATCCTTACAATAAATGGCCTAGTGTATAATACACAAAAGTTCCAGTAAAAACAATGTCAGGTGCAGTTCCTTACCTTTTTAGGTGTTCAAATAACGCTTTCATTGTTTCCTGATTGGGTTTTGGCAACTGTTTGATCAAGTCTTTTATGGATTGGACTCGCTGCTTGTAATCTGAGTTTTCTGAAAAACAAGCAAAATGAAAAAAACAAACAAAAAACAGGATTAGGATACTGTTGAGAATGAGATGCTCTGGGAACTGGGAAAACTATTTCCCAAGTCAAACTGCTCCCTCTTGTGGTTGATGCTTTATTAGTCTTCTGAGTGTATAATAATAAATGCTGTTCCCTTATTAATAATGAATGAATGAATGAATGAGGCATTTATATAGCGCTTTCATATGTACTACTGTACACCCAAAGCACTTTACAATCCAATCATATCAGGGGGTCTCTCCTCAACCAGCACCAGTGTGCAGCATCCACTAATAAGAGCATCTAAAGAACCATTTTTACACTACTGTTCAAAGGTTAGTAAGATATATTTTGTTTAAAGAAAATTATACTTTTATTCAGCAAGGATGCATTAAATTGATCAAAAGTGACAGCACTGAAAAAAGTATCAGGGTTTCCACAAAAATATTACGCAGCAACTGTTTTCAACATTGATAATAATAAGAAATGTTTCTTGAGCAGCAAATCAGCATATTAGAAGGATTTCTGAATGACCATGTGACACTGAAGACTAGAGTAATGATACTGAAAATTCAGCTTTGCCATCAAAAGGAATAAATGACATTTTTAAATATATTTAAAATATTTAAGTGATTTTAAACTGCAATATTTCACAATGCAAAGTGAAATATTTATTAAATTTTTTCACTGTATTTGTGATCAAATAAATGCAGCGTTGGTGAACATAAAAGACTTCCCGACTCCAAACTTTAGAACAGTATCGTACTTGAATAGAAGCAAAAATATTTCATCTTCATTTTATTTAGGTTTCAATTTGAGTTTAGTCCCAGTATTTCAGATCTCTGAACCCCACAGTATATTTTAAATTAAAAAGTGAAAAGAAGAATTAAGATATTGTAAAAGTTCAAGGAAAACCAAAACAAAGACAAAAACAAAATTAATCATTTCTGAGCTGCTCAAGCTTTTCCAGTTCACATGAAACCTAGATACATCTGTTTGTGAATCAATCAAACAAGTACTTGTCTTAAATAAAATATTTTCCCGAACAGAGAAATGAAAGAACTCACTAATGGCTTCGACAAAGTCATTAAAGGATGTGTAGGTGAACAGAGGCTCTGGAAGCTCCCGGAAAAACATCTTCAGAGCACCTGTAGTCACGTGGATATCCTCCCATTTACTGTCTTCCAGATTCACCTTTTCATCTGCAGACACATAAACACACCCTTTATAACAAATAGAAACTGGATAAAGTACGAGTCAATTTCTGTCTGAATGTTTGTTGTTAGCTTTCAGTGTAGGAACCATTTGTTTTAGTATAATTTATATGCTATCAGAATTTACTAATATTTTGAATTAGCTTTAATTTAGCTATGTTGAGTCTTTATTTTAATTTTAGTTTTAGTAATTTTGTTATAAGCTTTTGCCATTTATTATTATTATAATTTGTGTCCTTTTACATTTATTTTTATTTCAGATTAGTAAATTTAGTTCTTATTTTATTTTAGTTAAATGCTAAGGCAACATTTCAAATGATCTAATATTTATATTTCATTTCAGCTTCATTTCAAATGACTGGAAATAATTCTTAATATAGATTTTATTTTAGTTTTAGCTAACAATAACAATGATTTGCGAGACCTACAGTTTGCGATATTGTATCATTTTACAAAAAAAACCCCAAAAAAAACAAATCCCTACCATGATTGACGGCAAAGCGCAATTTCTGTATGACGGCCAGATTTCCACTGACTCTGTACAAGCCATCAACATTTAAGCCTGAGAAAGAGATGCAGAGAAATGAGACAGGAAGTGGATGTTGTCTGAGAATGACAACTCAAAGAGTGTATTAATAATCAATCACAATCAATGAAACACACAAATAAGTACCTGTATTCTCCACATGCTCAATGGACGTCTTGACAAAATTAGGCACAGAAGTGCCTTCTCTCTGACACAAGGCAGTCAAACTGCAGCCAAACACTTGATCTGAGAACAGACAGGAGGGTTAGCAGAGGTGTCTTCTAACAGAACCACTTCCTCTTTATGTACATCATTCACAAATGCTAAAAAAGTCTTGTTAGCTGCTTTATATCAGGGTATGTTACCTTTTATGTAGCCCTTGTCCCTGACAGCCTGTAAGGTTGGTCTCCGTGTGAGAAACTTCTTCAGCTTCACTCTGGTCTTCTTCTGTTCAGACGACTCCATGCTGGGGTTCTTCACTACTGCACAAACACACACAGGACTCAGCACAAACCCTATATGTAGTTATGATTTATTTGACAAATGTATGTCCTCTGTACCTCTGTTTTTCTTTGAGTCTCTGGGGTCTTTCTCTTTGTCGTGTTTCTCAGTTCCAGGAGACTCGGGCATGTCCTCTTCAATGGCTTCATCAGACTCCCACGCCTACAACACGTGCATCATCGTTACAATGCGATTTTGAATAGTTCATTTCATATTTTTGCACTGTGTTGTGTGGGTATTTCACTCACATGTGTGTTGATGGTTTCAGAAAGCGCTCTGAACCAGTCATTAATAACACTGTCAATCTCAGACTGAATCAGCAGCTCTGTGCCCACTCGTGTCTTCAGCTGCGGGGGTCAGAGTTCATATCAGGTCAGTGGGATCATATTAGGCAAAGGCAGGTGTCAGGACAGATTCAGTTACAGTAAGAATTATTGGTCACACTTTAGATTAGGGTGCAATTCTCACTATTAACTATGACTTCTGCTTTAATAAACTTCTAATTACTGCTTATTAATAGTTAGTAAGGTATTTGTTAAGTTTAGATATTGGGTCGGATTAAGAGATGTAGAATATGGTCATGCAGAATAAAGAATTAATATGTGCTTTATAAGTACTAATAAACAGCCAATATCCTCATTGCATGCTAATAAGAAACTAGTGAGAATTGGATCCTAAACCAAAGTGTTACTGAAATATTACAGTTAATCTTGGAAAACTAATATTATAAATGTATAGTTGCTATGTTGCTTGGCAATCATAAACATGCTGCAATTATGCTAATGTAACTGTATTACAGACAGTAGGCTACCTGATGTAATGTATTTGGATTTTCATTACTAATAACTCACATAAGATCTAAGAATTACTAAATAACTAATAAAATAAGAAATAAATAAGCTATTTGTTTACCACTGTTGTATTATTATTGCTGTTGCCATGTATTATTCAAGTAATAAGCCAGTAATGGTTAAATTACTATGAAATACAGTAATTTGACCAGGGTTAAGAGTTCTAGGCAATGTAAAAACAACCTGAACAAGTGATAAAATCACTGTAACCAACAGTATCTCATGGCGTATAGCTTTATCTTCTACTAATTCATCAGGAAATTGCTAAAAGAAATTCAGAGGTAAAATCAGCTGACTCTCACCTCAATTACATGCTTCTTGCTGGACTTTTCTTTGGATGCCCACTCGACCGAACCTCCTCGGAGGTCCACTGTGAATTCCGGTTTGGACTGGTTGCCTCCAAACTGTAATAACAAAGGTAAATTCAACAGCTCAGTTTAAATCCAGGGCACTCTTCATTAATTAATCATCATCTGAGAGTTATTTAGGATTGTCTTTAGTCCAGTGCTGTTAAACGTGAGCTATATTGTTGTTCCTGTTCAAAAGCGAGTTACGGAGCACGCTACATTTTAAGTGTCAATTAGTTATGGGTGCCAGGGACTATCCACTAATAGGTTAGACTTGAATATTAAATTCACAATGCACACGCTTCACTGTTTTATAATTCATGACCCAGGTTTGCAAAGAACATTCTCATATTTTGCTTTGCGCAGTGCTAAGCTCCACTTTGTATGTTGTGATAATACATTCAAATAGCATAAAATAAATGAGTCTGATTATGCAGAAATGCATGCCAGCAAACATAAGGTTCTTAGTGCATCCAAATTTTCATTTACTAACTCAAATCAGTTTTAAATTCAGCCTCTCTTGCAGGAGGAACTGACTTCAAGCACAAAGCAGGGGGCGATAAGTGAGGCGCACAGGCAGAAAGTAGAACGTGCACAAATAAAATGGGAGACAAGCTGCCCTGCTCAGCTGATCTCAGAACAGCTCTGCATCACATAACTTAAATTAAATTATATAATGAAATTAAATTATATCAAATACCATACATTTCTATCCTATTTGAAACAGTTACAAATCGCAGTCAACTTTAATCTGAGCAAAACTGTTCCTAGATCAGCATAGAGGGCACATTCATTCAGTTCAGAGAGGCTGACACATACAGAAGGAGCCCGGCCGCGTCTACAGTGCGTATAGGACACAGCAGGCCGGGGCTTAATCGAACGCTTCCAGCTACTTAGCAATGAAAGGAGGAGTTCAGGAAAGGAACCATTGCGGCAGTACGACTTTGAAGAGACAGAGAAGAGATGAAAGAAAGGAAAAGAACATAAAGAGAGTGATGATGCATGAAAACACACTCACAACACACATGGGAGATATAAACGAAGGAGAGAGGTACAAATCGCCAAGAGATCTAATATTTATAGTAAATCTGAATACTACTTTATTACGTAAAAGCATCCAGGCGTCTTTTGGTTCACACTTGTTGAGTGCTGAATGCACCCTGCATAAATGCAGGCAAATTTGCGGCAGACTATGGAGGAGCCTGCCAGTATTCAAAGCATGTCGATTGAAATTACGCTGTCAACTGTTATTACAGACTACCAAGGTCAAATACACTGATCTATCAATCTATTCAAGAGGAAAATTGCACATTTGCCCCAGAGCAATGGGTCATTGTAACCTGGTATGAATACATACCCAGCTGGTGGCGCTGCCCTGACCCTTTGCAAAGAGTAAAGAGGATCCCTGCAGGACAGTCCATGTGGAGGCCCAATTCTTCCTGCAGGACAATAAAACAATAAGAAAAGGGAACCACATTACTATATTTGAATTTCAGCTCTGAAAGCTTCATCAGCACTTGTATACATACACAGTGATACGAACAGTAATGATGGCGTCGGTTTTACCGTATCAAGGCCTCATTCTTAGAAAAAGCAAGTAAAGTGGATTTGCTTTCGCAGTGCAGAAAACAGCGTCTTCTTGACACGTTGACAACACGAACTAAACTCTTCCAGTTTCAGCTACAGTGTTTGAGGCCGAATTTACTGAAAACTCGTTTCGGCAGTTCAGAATTGATTCTTTTAGGAGACAATAACTTTATTTGTCGTTTACTTTGATCTTTGCAGACATTTTATGTTCACAAACAGCTGTATTACATACTGCATTAAAGGTAATATTTGAAAAAAATCATAATTAACCACTTTAAAGACCATTTTTCAATTTAGCACTGTTCATTCTTTGTAGCATCAACCAATATCAGGCCACAAAAGGCTTTTTCTTTAAAGAAAAAATTAAATACGGCATAATGCATAAATATTACCATTTTAGTATATCTATTTCCCCATACCTATAAAAGATAAATTACCTGACTTTCTTGCCATGTTCAGTAATCTTGGTGACATTGAGAACACCACACTTTTCTGATGGCTACAGAGAGGAGAAAAAAGAATAAAAATTTAAAAAAAAAGAAACAAATCAAAGGGAAACCGATTAAACAAAAAGTAAATAAATACATAAAATAAGAATATTGTATTATTATAAAGATTATAACAGTAAATAGTAAGATTCTTATTATTATTAACAGTAGTATTTAAATTAGGCAATTTAAATTGCATTGTTAATTCTGATGACAACATGCATTTAAAAGAGAACTGAATGTTACTACACCGAAAAGGCACATTCACAGGTTATGGGTTATACTAACGGTCGAGGGGTGTTTTGGTGAAGAGGGGCAGGAGTCTGATTCAGGAGAGTTGTGTTTGGCATTTACAGACTCCTGTAAGTCATAAAGAAGAAAACGTGCAGTGTTAAACAGGGTTAGAGGATGAATATAAAAAGAGGTTAGATCCATTCTGAAGGTAGTTAAGAATTTCCTATGAGAAAAGGGCTGGTGCTTACATGACAGATAATGGTAAGAATCACGGTTATCTCAAATTATTTGTAAGAACTTGGACAGGATGTTGTTGACATGTTAGTAATAAAAGAAGGCAGCAGACGCAAGCATACACGAAATAAGCACACCCAGATAAATCATGTACAAATCATAAAGAGCACATTTTGAGCAGGTTTTGATTAACCCAACTGATTTATTTCCTTGATTCGCATGAAAACACTTCAATTTGGGAAGTGAAGAAATCAAGAAGTCTGTAATCACATCTGATTGGTTACGGCATAATGAAGTGACTAACTTCTCTGTACAGTGACAGACCGAAGCCCCCGGTGAGGCGGTTCACACTGAACCATCTGTTTTTGAATGGCAGCTGGAATGAAAACCATTGTGTGACACAAGAGCAACATAATGTCAGGCTTGTTTCATTTAGCATCTTTATAGAACCAGCATGATTGAGTGACAAAATAAAATACAAAACACATGCACTGAGGTTAAGAACTCGCGCTCTCCTTTAGGAAATATATTTGGTATGTGTTAATCTTCACTGGCATCTGTGTGGGGGAAAAAATGACTTTGACAGCCTCCTAATTGGCTTTTAGGCTACATGCTGGTTTTCATAGTAAAAGAGGTCCTGAGAGTTACATAAATGGAGCCAGTGTTTCCCACAGGATTTTGGGAAACTGTGGTGGGTGGACCTCGGCCTTCTTAATGAATGGGAAGCAGAAGCACCGACATCTATTTGTGGCGGTCATTGTTGATATTGTGGTGGGCCGCCACAGATAAATCAATGTATGGGAAACATTGGGAGTCAATAATAACAATAAACACCCAAAAAGTCATAACCCAGGGCAATGAACATCAAAGCAGTTATGTTACTTTCATTATTGGAGTTGGTCTATTGGAGTTGTTTGTTTCATTATATATATATATATATATATATATATATATATATATATATATATATATATATATATATATATATACACTGTGTACACACACAGCCGTTTTATTGAGTAATATTAAATAAATACTAAGAACAGCCAATAATATTATGAAGCACAACCATTTTCAGCTGTGATCGTAATAAGAAATGTTTCTTAAAGGGGTCATATAATGGTACATGCACTTTTACAAGTTGATTGTACTGAAATGTGTGTTGGCAGTGCCTGTACACAGCCATCATAAAATGATAAAAATCCATCCAGTGTTTTTGTTTTAATCTCCTTATATGTTTTCCCCTGCCTCAAATCGAGCCGTTCGAGCCTGTGACGTCACAAGCTCGCACGCCCCTCCCACGATTGTTGATTGACAGAAGGGTTTCGACACAAACCCGCCCTCGCTCGTGAGCCAGCTGTCAATCATAGTCCGCGCGGACCGGCGCGGTCATTGTTGATATGCTGGAGCACTGTCTATGAGCAGAATGGCGTCTAAGCGATTGTGGTGTTCTGTTCTTGGGTGTAATAACGAACACAGCAGTCATTTTAATGTTCCTAAATCCGAACCGCCGAAGACGCAGTGGCTGAGTTTGTTTTCGAAGGGAATATTCCCCACAAGCAACGTCAATGCTTTCATGTTTGCGCAAATCATTTCACACACCAGACTGCTTTATAAACGAGGGTCAGTATGAGCTGGTTTTGCTAAGAAGCTGCTCCTGAAAGGATCGGTACCATCTATTCGTGTTCCTGCAGCTGCTCCAGAAGAACTGAAGTGAGTGTAACGTTTTATTAAACTTTATATTAATATTTATATTAATCCTTGTAAATCGCTAGCTGCACGCTTCACAATGAATGCGTCTAAGGTTTACACTCAGGGTACATTACGGCATGTTTTCTATGTATGACGTTCTTAATATAATGCATAATCCCACGTTTATACTGAACAACGTGTTATGGTTATTGTGTTATTGTGTTACAAACGATGTACGCCAGAGCCGGCTCTGGTGTACGCACAGAACAGAGAGGCGGAGTCAGCAAACCTCATGATCATTTGAAGTCATATACACTGAAATGGCGTGCTGAAAACAGAGCTGTTTTTTACCAGGTAAAATAAGTGTTTTCTTCCAATACTAATGAGAATTTTTAATTAAAGTATATTACAAACTTTTAATTTAGACCCTAAATAATCATATTAGCTTGCCATTTTTGTACATTATATGACCCCTTTAAGCACTAAATCAGTATTAGAATGATTTCTGCAGGATCATGTGACCCTAAAGACTGGAGTAATGATGCTGAAAATTCAGTTTTGCCATCGCAGATGAATATTTTAAAATATTTTCAAACAGAAAACAGTTATTTTACATTTTAATCATATTTAACAATATTTTACTGTATTTTTGAGCAAATAAATGCAGACTACAATAATAAAAAAAAATACCCCAAACTTTTGACTGAGAGTGTATGCATTTATGTATATATTACACAAAAGAGAACTGTATTGTGAAGAACTCTTGTTTGTGTCCAACAACATACACGTGTACCTTATCAGTGATGTCCAGCACATATGTGCTGTGTCTCCACTTGGTCAGCACAATGGGCTCCTGCGGCTTCCTTTCCAAACTGTGACTCTTAGGAGCTTCTTCAGAGATTGGGGGAGAGAGATTATACTGGGAACAGACAGGAAGGAGAAGAGAGAGAAAATGTGTTAAAACCATAGATTAAAGCCAGAGATGACTGGAAATGGAGGGGGGGGGGGGGGGGGGGGGCAGGAAGTGAATTTTAGGGGGGGGGGGATGGGGGGGGGGGGGACGGAGTTGCAGTTCAAAATGTAGAGGATTTCCACATTTTATCCACATTAATAGCCTCAAAACACTATGCAAATTTCATAAATATAGTAGGATTTTCTGCATCTATTTAATTCTACAATGGTTTGCAGAAACGAACAAAAAAGGTTGGTTAATTTATATATGAAATAAGTATAGACAGTGATAAAAAACACAGAAAAGAATAGAAAACAGCCGCTGTCGTACCTCTCCCCTCACCGTCCACAGCACCATGTGCGCTCAGATCCCCTCCTCCGAACATAAGCCCGCCCAACCCGCACAGCTATGGCGTTATTATCCTGTCCAATGTCGAGAGCGCATTATTGTAGCGCGAAAGTACATTAATATTATGCGCGAGCGTGAATCTCTCTGCTCGCGCGCGGAATATGATGTGCCGAGCGTGAATCCCTCTGCTCGCGCGCGGAATATGATATGCACAGCGCGAATCTCTCTGCTCGCGCGCGGGAACTGGGCGCGCGCTCTCAGATACACTTCTCTTGTAAGAATTCTCTCTCTGGGCTGAGTGAGCTCGCTGCCTCGCTCAGAGAATATGCCTGCACTTAAAACGTGTTCAGTGCAATCGCGAATTGCTCCTCTTCCCCAGCTAACAATTTTAGGTTATAAGAACGTTTTCATAACGTTCCCATTAAGTTATAAAAACGTTATTTCTGAATGTTCTAGGGAATTTCAAAAAGTCCAGTTTTTTAGACGTTGTATTAACGTTATTTCTTGGTTATAAGACCGTTCAATTCTCCCGTTATGTAAACGTTGTATTAATGTTTTTTCCTGGTTATAATAACGTTAGAACGTTCAATTCTCCCTTTATATAAACGTTGTATTAACGTTCTTGCTTGGTTATAAGAAGTTATTCAAACGTTCAATTCTCCCATTATATAAACGTTCTCTTAATGTTTTTCTAAGATAATGAAAAACGTTTCATTCAATAAAAAAAACATTAAGAAATGTTTTAATAATTATTAAAACCTTTCTTAATGTTTTTTACATAACAAGGTAGCCTATATAATAGGCCTAGCCTATATGAAGAACCTAAAATAAAAATAAAAAAAGACCCATGAATCATGTCTATAATATGTGTAATGTAGCCTACTCCACTGAAGTCGAGTTGAATTGAACCCAAGTAGGCCTATAGTTTATTCCAGTAAACCGATTTGGGTTGAAGTGACCATATGAAATTAACATGAACATAAACTTGGACTAAACATAGAATCACCAACAATGGTACAGGGAACAAAGCTAGACAAGAGACAATGGGAACACAAGGACAAGGATTATGACCAAAAACAACCACAAGTTAAAGTTAATTTAATTTATATAGCTCATTTTTACAACAATTTCCAAGTTTATGTTTATGTTAATTTCATATGGTCACTTCAACCCAAATCGGTTTATTGGAATAAACTATAGGCCTACTTGGGTTCAATTCAACTCGACTTCAGTGGACTACATTACACATATTATAGACATGATTCATGGGTCTTTTTTATTTATTTTTGTCTTAATTTTAAAATCTGAAAGTTCTTGTTTTAGGTTCTTCATATAGGCCTATTATATAGGCTACCTTGTTATGAATGAAACGTTTTTCATTATCTTAGAAAAACATTAAGAGAACGTTTATATAATGGGAGAATTGAACGTTTGAATAACTTCTTATAACCAAGCAAGAACGTTAATACAACGTTTATATAAAGGGAGAATTGAACGTTCTAACGTTATTATAACCAGGAAAAAACATTAATACAACGTTTACATAACGGGAGAATTGAACGGTCTTATAACCAAGAAATAACGTTAATACAACGTCTAAAAAACTGGACTTTTTGAAATTCCCTAGAACATTCAGAAATAACGTTTTTATAACTTAATGGGAACGTTATGAAAACGTTCTTATAACCTAAAATTGTTAGCTGGGGAAGAGGAGCAATTCGCGATTGCACTGAACACGTTTTAAGTGCAGGCATATTCTCTGAGCGAGGCAGCGAGCTCACTCAGCCCAGAGAGAGAATTCTTACAAGAGAAGTGTATCTGAGAGCGCGCGCCCAGTTCCCGCGCGCGAGCAGAGAGATTCGCGCTGTGCATATCATATTCCGCGCGCGAGCAGAGGGATTCACGCTCGGCACATCATATTCCGCGCGCGAGCAGAGAGATTCACGCTCGCGCATAATATTAATGTACTTTCGCGCTACAATAATGCGCTCTCGACATTGGACAGGATAATAACGCCATACACAGCCCCCCAGAGCACAGCATGTGTGTGTATATGTTATATGGAATGAGTATGTGTAATAAAAGAAGAGAGTGTGCTCCGATAAACAGTGCCTCTGAGGCACTAGAGACACTGATCTCGACTAACTCGATTAGGGAATCAGGGTTACTTTTAGATTTTCCTGGTAAACCTCCAACTTTCCTGGTTAACACTAGAGCTAAAGCAGGCAATGAACACCACATTATTTAAAGACAGGAGAAAGACTGTCTGGGTGTAGCTGTGAAAAAGTTTTACTTACTTTTGGTAACTCCCATTCTGAACGGGATCCATCGGCACTATAGTAATACGGCCGTCCTTGTTCATCCACATGCTTAATCCACTACCAAACAAAGAAAAATATCTGTTACACTATGTATCATTCATAACAAAAAAGGTGTGTTAATTGGTGTGTAAGCAGCTCTTTCCAGCACCTTTTCATTGTTGTATTCAGACACATAGAGTGTGTGGCCATGTTCATCCAGTTCCTCAGACCAGCCTCTAGGGGGTGACCCGTACTGACTGTCTGACTGACTGGAGTGTGTACTGGGACAGTTCTCCTCAGAGGACAAATGCTAGAGAAGACAGTGGAACAAGAGAATGAGAAAACAAAAATGTCAAAAAGACAAAGTGATTCATAAAAAAAGATAAAAGCATTCATTTAAGTAACTTCGACCCTATAGCATGGTGCTAACAACACTGGCAACGCTTTTTATTTCCATGAAATAAACGAATAACATGTATTCTTCAAATGCAACTTTCTTCAATAAATGTAAATGTAAATGTTACTTTAAAAAAAAATTATTATTATTATAAAATAGTATAATGTTTAAATAGTAATAAATAACATTATTATTATTATTATTAACAGTAATAAATACATTTAAAAAATAATATTGTTTTACTATTTTACTATTATATGTAATAAATACAAACACAATAATAACGATAATAGTTATAATTATTTCGAAAATAATAATACATTTTAAAACCGATATAGTGCATCTGTAACCAATAATATTTTAACTGAGAAACAAAATATACCATGCCCCACTTGTATTACACCCAAATTTAAGTTTTCACCACTAGATGGCAATGAAAAGAGTGAAACTTGGATTGAAACTCAGGCTGTCCTAAATGAGCTCGGGAAACGGGTCAAACTATATATACTCTCGTAAACATGCATGTTAGCTCTTACAGTATCCAGAACAACTTGACTAACATTATTTCTGTCATTTTAAATAATAATCCATTGTAATAGTAATATCAGCTGAGAATGAGTTGCTCCACTCTGTTCTGTCTGAAGCTGGGTCAACTGCCTGTTGAAGCTTAAATATATGAACAGCATTTTTCAAAAACTTAAATATAGACTGAAGACCTACTTCAACTTTGGCCTAGTTCAAACTTTCACATGCACAAGCATGTGGGCACACAGTCACACTCACATTAGCAAAAAGACATCAAGATATCAAGACATATTTATACATTTTTCCAGTTGTTTGTTACCTCCATGTCTCCAGTGTTGGACGTGTCCCCGCGACTGACCCCGTTGTCTCGTGAGCGGGGTGGTTTCCAGGTCCTCTCTTGAGTCGTGCGGTTGTAGTAGAAGCTTCTTCCACTCGAATCTTTGTGCGTTTCCCAGTCGCCCAGGATGTGTAGAGGGGAGGAAGCGGGAACAGGTGGGAGAGATGACTGAGAGATCTTCAACTCCTGGAGGTTTGTGTACACGGGGGACTCGGGTCGACCCTGTCCGGTGGGAGATATACCCTGTGGACAAAAACAGAGAAAGAGCAGCAAGTCAGAGGAAAATTGTCCTTTTTCAAAAAAAAAAAAAAAATGTTTCTCCAGTTCTGCATGAACATCAACATTTTGTTTAGCAGCTTGAATGTAAATGTCTCAAATGGCACACATCTGACAAAGCAAGAAGGCCAAGAGAAATAAAAGCAGCTAGTAAAACTGTGACTGATTCTGCCAGCCAGTGAAGAAATTCTGAGAGAGATCCAAGAGTCACAGGGGGCTCAGAGAAACATCTGCCAATTATTTTATTGATGCTTTGCTTTCATGGCTGACAACTGGCTCGATTTCCACACTGTTCGTTTAAAACAAGTCATGTTTTAAATGCAAATAAAGCATGGGGAGAATTCAATGAAGTTAAAAATCATAGAGACAAAGAACAACAGGAGAAACCAGTTAAAAAAGCAGTTTCAAAACATCCAGACATCACAGAATGATCTGTACTTCATTTTTGAAATGACTTAAATTTATCAATCAGTCCTGGCAAACACATAATTAATATATTTTGTTAAATAAATAAATAATAAATAAGTTGCTTTGGAAAAAAAAGTTTCAGAAACGAATCAATTGTAAATATAATGACAGTAAAACGGTCCAATAGTTCAGTAGAAATGTCACCTTGGTACACATAAAAGTAGAAGTCAGTCAATTAAGAAGTCAGCCACTCTTTCGGTTGTTTGAAAGAGTTATTTTAGAAAGTGTCTCTTCCTCATTACTATAAAAGAGACGACGTCTTCGACTCCTCGCTGCTGAAGGCGCTGTTATTTTGGTGCAACCCATTGTGAGCTTCAACATAATAACCACACAATACAAACCACAGGGAAATTGAGCAACTGAAAACTCACATATACAGGAAGAACAGAAATAGAAGCCAGTCTCTCACTTGAGTAACACAAACTACTGCTCCCAGAACAGCAACAAAGTCACCAGTGACTACTTGACTTGAAAACCTAATACTGCAATTGTGATTGGCAAGTTAGAGGGTAAATACAGTATCTGTGAATGCATACGCTACAATTGGGGAATTTGGGTGACATGGCATATGTCTGAGGACCAATCCAACAAAGCAATGACCGATTGCTAACCTTTGAAAAAACCTGACACGATTCCTGTTTTTATGGAAAGGCCAGTTGGCAAAGACCTCAAATAGTCAGGGAATTTGGAAGAGAGGGAAAGAGGCCTGTTGGCTAATCCATCCTGCCATGCATGGAAACATATGGGACTTCCTGTCATACTGAAATAATAAGGTTTATCGTGATAATAGACTCAAAGCTGCTCTAACATTTTCCAGTGTCCTGTGTGACTGCGTGGCGTTGGGCAAAACATTCCAAAAGAGAATCCCAACATTACATTCATCTAAATGCTTTTTGACTGGCAGTCAAATATTCATTTATTTGTATAATAGCCACTAAACTACACCATGCTAGTTCTCTTTCAAGCGTACATAATACAAATAATATCAACTCAAATTGATATTTTATGTCCATATATTTATTTATTTGATAAGTGGCTGTGGTTTATTTGTGTCCGTGACCAGCTGACTTACATAACTCTTTAAATAAAAATGACATAAAAAAAGAATAGTTCAAACTTTTAATGTTAGAATAATAACAAAAAAGCCAAGAAAACAATCTTCGCCAATTTTTAAAGGCGGCAGCTGCAGCAAACAAGATTATTTGAATCTACTTTTAAACACACGCAGGGTGAAGAAATAAATAAACTGCATTACAATATTAAATGAACAAAAATTAAGATTTTTACACTATATAAATCATCATTTAAAGGATGAATTTAACTGTATAATATAATATACTATAATATAATATAATAACCACTTGAAATGAATTCAAACATTAAAAAATACATTGGTAAATGTCACCTTCTGACTCCTGCTTGTCTCTTGAGCTGTAGGTCTTTTTCTCTTCACTCTAATACTAAAACTCGACACCTAAATATCTGCATTCAAAACCTCAACCCTTGTTTGCATATCTGTCTCTGTCTCTTGCTCGGTCTCAACCACGTACACACTGTACCTGCAAATATAGACTAGCCTCTACTGGATCATTTCATAAAAAAGTTGACCCAAAAATAGCTCAAACAGCAAAGTTCATTTCACTCAGTGTATGTACAATGTTGCGTGCACAAACAGAAACAAAGATGAACGTATTAAAATCCATATTCAAACACATGCCTCCACATTGAAATCTGTAGAGCACACCCAAGACGAAATGCATACGTGGTAACAGCTGTGAGTGTACATGAATTAAAACCCCTATAAGCAAAAGGATATTTAAGTAAGGACTCTTTTAATAAATGCAGTCAGGTTGCAGGTACTGAAGTGTGTCTGTAATCATGTATACGAGTTCAAACTGAAGTACTAGCACACATGAATGCCAATTGGTTTCATGTTATGAAAAGTCCAGAGATGTTTTCAGATTAGATGTTCAGATATGGATGCTAATGAAGTCCTTTGTGGTTAGTTACCAGTCAGACACACACACACACAGGAATCTGTTGGCTTCTACTCCACATACGCCTTCTCATTCAGACAGCACAAAGGTACAATAGATGCAACGGCACCAGTCACTGTAATCTAAATTCTGCAAGCTTTTTTTACATTTTCTTGAAGCAAAGAAAATATTCTTTCAACTTTTGATTAATCATCATCAATTCATGGATCTGTCCATCATCCTCCAAGTGCCAACCACTCTTATCATGCTTACGCAACCCACAAGTCTTGCCGTTTTAGAGATACTCCGACCCAGTCGCCTCGCTATAATTTATTCAATGTCAAATTTGCTCAGATCTTTATTCCTTCTCATTTCTCCTGCATCCAACACATTGATTACAAGAAACTGATGGTTTACTTACCATCTAATCTACCCAGACCATAATATGTAGCAATGTTAGGATATGACCTATGATATTCGCTTCACCTATGATGACTGGTCATAATGTTTTTACACTTTATCAGATCCTCTGCTGTTCTCTTTTTTGTGATTGGCCACTAGGGGTCCACATTAGACCATTAAACTGAGTGCCAAAGAAGGATTATGTGCAAACATGGTAACCTGCATTCCTTTCCTTCCTAAGCACCTCACCAGTGTGTGTGTAATGAAAAAAGAAACCGGACAAAAGTAAGGTCCACAATATGCATTTCTATAGGGTCTTGGTCTTGTAAAGTACTTTGATTAATGGTGTCTGTGCAGTATCCTCTGAGACAATGTCGATTTATAAAGTTCAGAGATCATTATAGAACAACATTTGACTGCAAAATCCCATTACTGACTAATCATTTCAGAGAGGTTCCATTAAGGTTATCCATTCCATGCACGCATTTACTTAAAGACCTTTGTGTGCTAAGCTGGGACATACTCTAAGATGGTTGCATAACAGAATGAATGTGTAAGGTAAGAAAGAGAAGTGAAAAGACCATTTGTGAAAACTTGTTTCTTTATGGATGTGCTTGTGTGTAGGACAGGAACGTTTTCTACCCAAAATACAGGCTAATGGCCACATGAGAGAAGGCAGTGACTGTGATTGGCTGATTACCTCTTCAGTGGACTAACGTCGACCTATCACGTTCATAACAATTGCTAATTACAAAATATAACTCACTCATATAGACTTTGGCCACTGGAGGAGCACTAATGTCAACTATTTTACATTTTGGCGAATTGGTGTCAAATTTGTACCATTTGTACCTTTTCATACATTTGTACCTTGCTGGTGGTTATTTAGGTGTGGGGTTAGGGGTAGATCTTCATGCTTGCTTTTAAAAAAAAAATGTTTTAAACAAATTCATACGAATTTATACAAATTTGCCAAAAAGTAAAACCGTTACAAACTGCCAATTCAAATTACCAAAACATTTTCTCAAAATATCGGGTTGTTTCAGCTCAGTTAAATTAATACTTGATCTTCATACTTGCAGCAAAGAATGATTATTAATAATAATAATAATAACAATAACAATCTTCCATTTATCTTATCGCTCCCTTTGTTTTTAGAGGGCACCGTCTTTTTTCCTCCATCAAGAACTCCCCCTTACACAAAGAAAGGCCTATCTCACTCTCTTTCTCCTGGACTAAGTATGAATGACCAGTATAACCTACATTTCCATCTGACTGCCTGCAGTCAGGATGCATCCACTCAGCCACACATTAGCACATCTGTGACATATGCAGAGCCACCCAGTCACCTCCCCCAGAGCCCCTGGAGCCACATGGATGTGTGTGTGCTCAACTGAACATGAGGTCTATATCAACTGTATGAGACCACAGTATCAACTGCAAGTGTGTCACGAAGGACACAACTACACACACACTCCAATCAATAAGTGAGGCTCCAGGAAGGCTGATTTCGTCGACAGCAAACTTTATGGGGAATTTTAGCTGTTTCACACCTCTGTGAGTTCAGCGATGCTCAAACTCTGACAGAGAGACAACCAATTAACCTTTAGGTCTTCGGCACAATGCTGCGTGATAACACACACCAACAGACCACCCTGTGCTCATCGCTAATGCTGACGGCTTCTGTAAGACTCAATGAGAATATGAAATCTCAGTCAGAGCAGCATGAAGAACAGCTGTACACTTTTTTTCTCTGAAGCACTGCAAAAGATGTCGAAAGGGTACAAATGCAACAAGAAAAAAAAAACAGATTGAAATTAAAGAGGAAAACCTGGCAAAAATTATTACAGTGTTTGCTTTGCTTTAGTTATGCACAGCCTATAAGAAGCACATATATCCATCAATCCATCCATCCATATGTACATGTATGTATGTAGATATATTATGTATATAGAGCTAGACATGGTTTTTTTTTGGTCCATAAAATAAAAGTCAGTAGGATACAATGTTGTTTTGGACCCCTTTCTTTCTTTCTGCATCCATCATAAACAGTGAATGTGGCCGTTAATATATGTTTTTCTGTGATTGCGTAGAAGTGTGTGCGTGTGTGTATGGGGAAAC